GAGGTGGCAGGGACCCGGGGTGGCACGCAAGGCGGAGAGCACGACCGACGCTCGTTCCTCTCACCTCCTCCCGCTTCTGTTACTGTTACCACCATCACTTAACCACTCTCCTCCAGGACTCGGCGTACTATTGGTGGCACAGCGTTCCGTCGAAAGCTCAATGTTCCACCCGGCGCTCTGCTCCTCGGTAGCACTGAGGGCTCGGAGCCAACGATATCACTGTCCATGAGGTCATGCCGCAAAGAGCACGGGCCAACAATGGTGGAACCAGCAATGGAGCTCAGGCTCAAGGCTCAAGCCACGATCCGGTCTTCAACCGGCCTTCCCAGTGGACAACAAAGGCGTCCAAGCAGGAACAAGCTTGGTTCGTCAAACAGCAAACCGGTCACCACATCCCTTTTCCCAGTGTTGGTAAAGAATTTGGAGCTAGAAGCAAAGCAGAGTAACTACGACGGGTCCAGCAGTGGCGACATACAAAATCTGCAGCAATGAAGCCCGGAAGGCCCCAAGCCCCAATCTGGTCTAGGTGTTAGCAAACACTGCGCGGAGCGAAAACAAGCAGCAAGGCAGAAAAGGCTCCAGAAAACGGGGAAGCTCCGAAAAGAGAAACACTGGGAGGCCCCTGTGGGAAGCATCGGCCAGGCAGGTAAGCAAAGCCAGTTAGATAGAAAAGTTAAAAAAGGCTCACTATATTCCAGCCTGCCTGCCCGTTAAAAAAAGGCTCACTATATTCCTGCCTGCCTGCCCGTTTTCCTCAAGGGCAGCAGCTGCAACTGTGTTGTTGTTCTTTGTTGTTCTTTCTCTCCGGTGATATCAGCCGCGTCAAAGAGGGAGGCAAATAACAAAGAAAAAGAAAGCAAAAGAGAGGAGAATCATTTGGTTGTCACCTTCAAGTAGCAAAAGTACCTTCGTAAGAGGCATGGAAAAGAGGGTTTTAGCAGGTGCCCTTTACCCAGCTGCATGACTTGAATACATGTAATGTCTGGAGCTTATCTCCACTCCAGGCAGGCATGTAAGTAGTTTCCAGGCAGTCTCCTGTTGTGGTCATCAAATGAAATGGGGGTCGGAGAAATAGCTTAGCCTGGTTTTGTGTGTTTAACAGCAGCTCAGAGTTCACAAAGCCGTCCAGAAGAAACTTCATAGCACAGGAGAGAGATTTGCCCTCTCTTACTTTTTAAGGCCTACATCCGATGTTGCTACTCAAGGCACCACAAACCCCCTAGAGCTGGTCGCTGGGGCAATCAAAGCATGGCAGAAATTGTTTCCATGACCTCTGGAGGGCACAAGAGTACTTTGTGAGATTACCACCACCACCACCCATTATTATTTTCAAAACAATGTGGCCCTTGAACCACATAATGCCTATCCCTAAAAGTTAGCCTTTAAGGTGCCACCCCTAGCACTGGGTTTTTTTTAATTAGTGTCAAAGTGAAAGTAAAACTCAAAGGATAAAAACACAGAGAGGTAGCAAGTTCTTCCGCAATGGACTGAAGTTGCTAAAAACCTTATGATGCGTAGGTGTGTTGTACAGGAGTTCTATATATTCCATCCAAGAAGAATGCCATGTTGAGTTTAATGAAGCTTACCTACAATTTAGTTAGATATGTTCTTATGAGGAAGGAAGGAAGGAAGGAAGGAAGGAAGGAAGGAAGGAAGGAAGGAAGGAAGGAAGGAAGGAAGGACGATCCCTACCTTTCTACATGATTCCATCCCCCCCCCCCATTTCTTTATCTTTCAGAAAATGGTACTGCAGTCCTTGTTTGTACTCACTGAATCTTGTTTCCATGCCCCTTGTTTTTACAGCGACCCCAAATCTGTGTGCACACGAGGCAGGTGACCGAGAACAGTTGCTTTGCCTGTTGCAGGTTTGCACATGAAATGGGAGGGCAGGATGTTAAATTGTATGACAGAATCTGTTCCTAAAGGAATATATGCTTGTTTAACAAGCTGCTTTAGGCTTTCTGAGTCTCTCCCTTGCGATTCACGCATGGCAGTCCAGGAGCGTAATCTGCTGAACATGTTGTCTCTTCTGTGGTCTCGTCATTAAATGAAACTACCTCATGGACACTGAGTTAAGACTACTACCACTCTACGGGATATGCATTTAATTAATACGCGATGTGATTTTTTTTAAGGCAATAGCTTTCCCTCAAAGTAACCTTCTCTTTATCAAATCCACCTGCATATGGCTTTTAACAATGCTGAGTTTTGTCATATAGATAAAACTAAATATCCAACAAATACAGAGGATCCAGAACACTCTGTCCTCCAGGCATTCCTTGGACTAACATCCTACCCCACCAACACTGATGGGAGCTCCGTCCAGCAAAGTTTAACAAGGAATAAAATGCCCCTCCCTGTTCTAATCCACCCCTCTCCGGAACTGACCAAAATGATGTCTAGGACTGATGGGAGCTGCCGTCCAGCAAAGTTTAACAAGGAATAAAATGCCCCTCCCTGTTCTAATCCACCCCTCTCCAGAACTGACCAAAGAGCTTTCTCCAGGAAAGATCATTAGCAGAGCAAGATGACACATGTCTTAAGCTTGTTCTCAATGTCTTATCCTCAAAAGTATGCTCTTGTACGACTAGTAGACATATTCTTCGGGATCAAATCCAGGAGGGAACCCGCTGGCAGTCTTGCAGGTGTCATTGGGATACAGATCTGATCACCTCTGTCCAACAGAGCTAATGGTGAGGAAATAGTTAGATTCGCCTTCCCACCCACCCCGCAACATCATATGTAGGACAACAGATTGCCAACCCATGGCTGGATTAAAAGACATTTAAGCTACAGGCCATTGTCATTGTCACACACCCCTATGGTCACTAATTCCATGTATTAAACAGTTACCAGTTACATGAAGTCACGTTTCCCTTTCTGTTATTCCCCAGCCTACTGCTAAATCAATTTCATGGACTGACTGACTATTCCGCTTTTATAACTTACAGACAGAAATGCAAAGTGATGGGCACGAGAGATACAGAGCTGGTGGCAATGATCTGGGAAACAGATTCATGGCCACTGTGTGTCACGCAAGAGAGGAAACGTGTCGCAACTGAAGTTCAGCCTTGTTCCAGTAGACTTTGACAAGCGAATTTCCAGAGGGCGAGCTGTGTTGGGCTGCAGCAGCAACACAGCGAAGGGTCTGTGGCACCTTAAAGGCTGACAAATGTAAAATGGCATAAGCTTCCCCCCCCCCAACACACACACATGTACAGAGAGAAAGTTCATTCCAGGGTATGTGTGTTAGCTTAGCTACTGTCATGGGAAGCCTTATTATCCATTATTAGGTCTTGATTCTTCTCACATTTGGTTTCTGCCCGATATCACGGTTTACCAGTCCCACCCACCTTAGCCATTGTGTGTGTGTGTGTGTGTGAGAGAGAGAGAGAGAGAGAGAGAGAGAGAGAGAGAGAGAGAGAGAGAGAGAGAGAGAGAGAGAGAGAGAGAGAGCGGGAGGGAGGGAGGGAGGGAGGCAGTCAGTCCATTTCTCAGGCCAGGGTGGCCTCCTCAAGTAACCGAGCAGCAGATATTGATATCTATACCTTGATGCCATGGATAAATATTTGCCACATTATTTTTCCTTCTCATATGTCTGATGAAGTGGACTTGTCCACAAATAATGCAAAAGTTAGCCTTTAAGGTGCCACCCTGTTTTGGGGCCTTTTTTGCACTTTTAATTTTTATTTTGTGCTCACCTCTAGGAGCAGCAGGTACAATCAGCTACTTTCCTTCTCTCTCTCCTACAAGGCCTCTACCACAGCCCGGCCTCCCTCTCTCACCTTCTTCCGGCCTTCTTTTGGAGCACCTGGTACCCATGCCTGCCTGCCTGCCTGCCTGCCCCCTTTCTCTTTTCACCCAGCTGCCTCCTTTTTTCTTTCTTTCTTTCTGTAAAGCAGCGTTGGCTGCTGCAGTCCATGGTGCTTTAGGAACAGCAGACAAAAGCAGCAGGAGAGGAAGGCAAAACGAGTTGTTTTTAAAAGCCAGAGTCTTCATGTTTTGTTCTTTGCTTGCATTAAGTGATTTTTCCCCCAATCAGTCGTTATTTTTCAGGCCCTCTGCCGGCTGGCCATTTTCACATGCCAACAGGCGGCTGGATTTGCTTTGCTTTGGAATTTCAGTGAAATATGTTCTTATGGTTGGGTTGCAACTCAGTCACGTCACATTCCGGAGCTTGGAAAAGTTATTTTCTTGTACTATGATTTCCAAAATACTCTAGCTAACATAGCTACCAAAATGTTACTTAGTAGAAAAGATTTGGGAGTCCTAAAAGGAACACACAAACCATTTTGGAATGAAACAAAATGTCTGAATGCCTTTTATTGTTAATATATTCAAAACTTAACATTGCTCAAGGAGACTCCCATTTGAACACTGTGTTTACATCAGCAAACAACACTTAACACAATATATTCACATAAAATGCACACTGTACATTCTACTCATTCCATGCACTTCTTCCCTGAATTCTGACCAGTCGGAAAGAGATCACAAATAGCGCAACTGCCCTCCTGAACATCACCTTCTTGAAAATTAATGCCCCCTGTATTCTGGGGAGATGACAACGAATACTGGATCACACCTCCACTGGGAAAGTGTTCGACTCAATTTTCTATAGCTCAGTGGAATTCAACTCAAGTGGAGCTCAGCTCTGTGGTAGCTCCGATGTCAGGGAATATGGGATTTTGTCCAAACTTTACAAAAACTAAGTTGTTGGACCTATTTAAGGGACGGGGCTCCACACCTTTGTTAGCTCTTGGAAAGTTCAAACTAAAAATAGAGTAGAATTGCCATCACACTAACCTTTTTGGAGGTACCAGCTTCTACTGCACGGAGCTGTTCGGGTTGTGCCGGATATATCTGTCTCATATTGAACATCTGCTCACACACTCAAGAGAAAGTAAGGAAATGCTTCCCTAACGCAGCCCCAGTTTCCAGCTGGCAGATTTCTTCGTTGCTGGTTGTGCAATTTGAGAGAGGGAGAGAGGGAGGGAAAAATAGAGGAACAGAGAAATATCAGCAGAAAGAGGTGCATACATCTGTTGCATACCTACCTCTGGGGCAGCATTCATTCAGACTGTGGCATCTGTGCTGCTCCTGCCTGTTGGACAAGTTGTCACCAGATTACAGCATTGCACAGATATTGGGCACAAGGTTGTCATTTTTTCATTACCATCACCTCCCGTGCTTTTAACTGGTGGTAAATTTGCAACTGTTAGTAACTTTTAATCTCTGTGGTGCAGAAAGCTTTAGCTGAGAATTTCTGAACTTGAAGCAATTTATTTTTTAGCAACATTTGCATTCCTCCCTTACCCTCCCTGTGCCCTCAATGCAGCATCTATGGGTCTCCTTACTCCCCACTTTGTTCTCATAAAAACCTTCTGAGGTCGGTCAGGCAGAGAGAAAGGGATGGCCTCATGGGTATGCCCAGCACACTTCTTGCTCAGAAGGAGATGACAAACTGGATATCCCATGTTCCAATGTAACACTCTTACCCACAACGCCACGTGGAGCTCTCTCTGTTATTAAAGGCACAGCCATAGCTGTTACTGAAAACTGGCCACCCTCATCCAGTGTGGCAAATTGGTCCGACAATCCCCTTACTTAAAAGTTCCTTTTTTTTCAAAGCACCACGATGGCCTCCAAAAGCTGAAGGGTTCGATCCCCCTTCATTTACCATAATTAGACTTCACAAAACCAGAAAGAGTTTCATGAAACCACACTGTGGTAAAAGAAAGACTGATTGAGTGACATGGCCTTTCTTCCCCACACAGACCCATATCTGCTAATTTGTGTATAATCCTCCTTTTTTTTTCCTCCCTGGTTGTTTCATATTAGCTGTTGTTTTAACTTTTAACGTTTTGTTGGCGTGATGTAGAATAAGGATACCCAATCTTTGTATAAATGACAAAATGTTGATATGTGCCTTTAAATAAAAAGTCAGTCTGCTGTAGGGGATAGAGTTTTGGACTAGGACTCAGAAGACCTCGGTTCAAATCCCCAATCAACCATGCAAACTCTTTGAGGTCTAACATTCGTAAGAGCACTATACAAATATACCACAAACTTTGGAAACCATATTAGGCTCACAGGAAGCTGGGAGCTGGCTGACAGCACATAACACAGGACACATTTTTCTTTCAAAGTCCTACATCACTGTGACAAAACAAACTGTTGACGTTTTCCTTCTTGACGACTCCTATCAAAAATACAGGAGCCCTAATATTTTCAAGCCAGCCTATTATATGAGTGCCAAGCCTTCTTTGCAGGTAAATACACCTGATGGCAGGGGAGGCATCTACCTCTTCCTGGACAGAGTCCTGCAACAGCTACATCAGAGGCAGAGGCCAGGAAGTGCTGATTTCCTACGTCACTTGCTGGGAAAAGTTGTCTAGAATGTGATGCATCCTGCACTATGCGTAATAAGTGACTCTCTAGAATGAGTCCTAGAGAGACCTGCATTTGGGTGTTTATCATCCATATATTTCAGAGTGTGACTCTAAAAAAACTACAGATGCTGCTTCCAGAGTCTCCAATGCCTCCTCCTGTTCCATCCGTTCTCTTTATTATGTTAACTCAAATCCCTGTTTTGGTGCCTCTCCGGATAATGAACACCATAGGTGGCATTCCACTGCTGGAAGTACTACATTGCTTCTTTGTGTTTATGGCACCACAAGGAGAAGAAACTATTCATACATTTCCATTTGTTTTTCATCTGTGCTTGATTGGTTGAGCCCAATGCTTTTCCCCATCACCCGTGTTACCCAGCATTAGACAGAAATGGCTTAACTCATTGGAAGCTAGTCTGGTTTGGTATCTCAGGATTTCATGCCCTACACCCTCTTGTCTGTCTGATGCTTCAGCCCTTCATCTGTCATTTGTAAGTTAGTTTCATCATGATGATTTTTGCAGTCTCAGCCTTAGGTTTCTTAGAAACTAGGTTGCACACTTCTTCCCTTTGCAGTATTTCATATTATGCTGTGTTTCTCACATCTCACCATCTATCAGAAGGAGCAATTGTGCATAATTTTAAGTACTCCTGTAACACCTTGCATTGCCTAAAAGTGCTGTTGGCTGGCTGATCATTTCACAAAGCCAGCATTACGTGAGGGTTCTGTACAAGTCAACATATCATGGTCCTGTATGGCCAGGTTTATCAAGCCCTTGGAGAAGGAGAGCTAGTGAAGAGCAACTGCCACAGGCAGTGAGTTGGGAGAAAAGTCCTCCAAAAACTGAGTCTGTTGGGTAGATTCCTGTGCAAGCTTCAGGCACACACTGGCCTCTGTTGTGCTGTGGTTGTTATTGACACGAAACTGCTGTTTGGCTGGGCAAATAGCCACCATGAACTGACGCTTGAAGGTCTCACTCAAGGCAATGTAGAGGAAAGGGTTGAGGCAACTATTGGCGTAGCCCAAACTAATGGCAAAGTTGTAGGCGTAGAAGAAAGCAACGGAAGGAGTGTCTATCCCAAGATGCACCAGCTGCAGGATGTAGAAGGGGGCCCAACAAATGAAGAAGGCAGAGCAGATGGCAACAGCCATTCGGGTGACCTTCTTTGTACGGACCCGGAGACTCCTCTGGGGTAGAGGCACAACGGTGGTGGCCATATGCTGGAGGATCTTGAAGTAGACCACACAGATGATGAACAGGGGAATAGCAAAGGCTAGCATGAACTGGTAAATGGTGAACCAGTAGATATCCGTCTCAGGGTTGGGCAGCAGAAGAGCACATCGGACACTCCCATCCTCCAATGGCATCACCCCAGCGTACATCCAGACAGGGATGATGGTCAGAAAAGAAAGGAGCCACACCAAGCCAATGACCAAGGCTGCTACATATGGCGTCCGGATGTAAGTAGACTTCAGGGGATAAACGGTTGCCAGGTAACGATCCAGGGTCATGACTGTTAGGATATTGGTGCTGGTGATCTGGCTGTTGGTGTCCAGGGCGGTGATGATAGTGCATAATGGTGCTCCAAAGTACCAGGCGCCATTGCCCAGGAGCTGATGGATGAGGAAGGGCATGCCTAGCAGGAAGAGCAAGTCCACAAGGGAGAGATTGAAGATGAAGATATCAGGCACGGTCTGTTTGCACCTCAGCTTCTTCTTCTTGATAATGGTGTAGAGAACAATAAGATTCCCGACAATGCCAAGGAAACAAATGATGCCAAACAAACTGGGCATGATCACATTGGTGTAAGGAGCTGGCCTTTCTGCCACTGCTGTAAACAGCCGGGGAGGGGGGAAGGGGGAGAAAGAGAGACAAAAATAATAGTAAGAGGTTGATGTTGTTTCAACTTATATGCCGTACTGCCTAAGTTTATGTCAACCTGCTAGCGTTATAGGGTGATTCCAGTCACTGCATAAGTTATGGCTGATTACAGGTTTATGTGTTTTCATAAAAACAAACGAGGAAGACTGGGGTTCCCTCCTCCCCTTCTTTTTCTTTCTTTTTTTTGCAACTTCTGTATTGTGAACATTATTTGCTGATCCTGCAATTCCATCTTTCAGTCCTGTCATCTTGTGAAAGGTGATGGTCCTTTCTTTGGCTTGTAGCCAAATGGTAACATGTACAGTGTCAATTATGGGATGAAATCTGTTCTTTTTTAACTTCACCCTTGAGTAGGACTAGCTCCTAGTGGAACACATCTGGTCCCGGCATGTGTTTTGCAGGTGAACAGCATATCAACCACAGTACGCAGATCTTGTCTCTTTAAGAGACAGGCTTAAATAATAAAATGTCTCGCTTCTGAGTGGATGCTGTTTCTCTACACATCCAGACACAAGTGCTGGTCTGCTGTTCATACAGTGGCTTTTAATTTTTAAGTATTCAGTGAAGACAGACTTTCTCTTTGCAGTATTGATTTCTATGTATTTCTATAGTTCCAAAACCAGGAAAATTCCCAAACGGAAAAACCTTGGTTTAAAGCTAAACATTGTTGTTGAGCCAAAGAAATTCAGGCCACAGATCAATCCCTATCAAAGCATGTACATTTTTGTACCTGTTTTGTACCTTAAGGCCCACTTCATGTAAGCTCAAGATATGACTTTCATATCATGAGTTTACATGAAAGTTCCTCCGCCTGCCTAGGACAAAGCCCTGGACAATACAGTGTGACATCCTTGCCCAAGTACAGATCAATAAGACTGGACTAGAAACATTTACATAACTGCAGATGGACCTCTGCTGCAAATCCATTGTTTGCAGACATTGACGCTGGCAAAGTGTGTCGGGTGGCAAGTGGGATTATGCTATAATGCTTACATGGAGTGGATGTTAAGGTACAAAAACTGTGTATCAATAGAAATGCTTTCAGTGAAAGGAATTGATCTGTAGTCTGAACTTCTTTGCCTGCTTTGGTGTAGCATCAACCATAACATTTAGCTTTAAATCAATAGTTTCTCTCTCTCCCTCCCACCACCACTTTCTTCTCTTCCTGTTTCCAAACAACGAAGATCAGCTGGTTAAAAATGTTCTACATGTAAGGACCACCTTCTCACATAAAGATGTAAAAGGGGACCTGCTAGAATGGGCCAAAGATCTGTCTCATCCCGTGTCCTGTGTCTCACAGGGGCCAACTTGGGGAAACCCACATGGAGGTCAAATGGGGTACTGGCCCACCATGGGCTCAAGCTACTTCTTCAGCCAGCTCACTTTTGCCCGCCTCCTTTCCTTCAGTGTGTGAATATTTAAATACATGCTTGTTTGCTTCCCTTATCTGTGCTGTGAGAAAGACAGAAAGAGAAGATGTCTCTCTGTGTCTGGATGCCTGTGTGCTGTGTGTATGCACATGAGCACCCACTTTTCTCCATGGCTCAGCCTGTCACCCTGATTCTGCCTGCCATGGGATCTACCCCAGATGGGCAGCAGCCACCACTGGGTATTAGAGGACTGTCCAACACTATAGGCAAGCAGCCATTCTTTCCCCAAACAAATAACTTGTGTCACAGGACCAGATTCTAGCCTACAATGGCTACTGTATACAAATAGTGTCCCCTGGAGAGTGACCAAAGGGAGATATAGTCAGGGCTCCTGTGGCTTTAGTTGTGCTGTAAAAGATGCCATTTCAGGAGGAGGAGGAGTTAGCATGGCCAGTAATGCCAACTGAACTACTAAAGATGTTGGAGCCCCGTCCTCCAGCCACCCTGTGCCCCTCTTCCCCGGGACATTGAACCTCATCATGTGAATTGTTCCTTCCATTGATACCACACACAATACAAAACGCTCAAGGGACGTTCTGAATGTGACCATTAGAAGAAGGTGGGTGGCAGGTCTCCTTTAGTAGTTTGATGGCAGACAGAAACCCATGAGATGATATTTTCCCTGGCCTGGAGATATAGCAATAGGAGAGGAAAAAACACCTGTTTCTCCCATTCATGCAATTACATAAACCTTTTCACTGGGAATGGGAAGTCAACGTCATTTTCTTCTACCAAGAGAAGCTAGATGGTTGGCAAAGGGAATGTATCCTGCAGATAAGGCTCCATGTCTTATCGCCTATTTTCTATAAAATGAAGAGGACTGGAGAAGCACTGTCTTAGCAGATGGATAGATAGGTGATGGTTCTTGAAAGAATGCCTCAGTCTGTCCAGATGTCTACCCAATGTGTCATCCACCCAAAATGTAACAGAACCACCAGTTTTCCCACAGGCGTGTCCTCTCCCTTGTCAATTTCCACCAAACCAGATGGTGATGTATCATTTCAAGGAGGATTGACTCCACTCAGGTTTAACGGGCCCACATTTCACTTGTGTATACATTGGAATCACTCTTGCACATCTTGTTATAAATCCAAAGGATGCGCCTCAGGGCTCATTACAGAGGTTTGTTTACCTTCTTGTCGTACCAGGCAAAATGGAAAGAAACCTGTTGTTTGATTGGCAGCACCATCATGCCCACACAGCTGTTGTTCCATCTGCCTTTTTCTCAGTGCTAAAGGTCAGGGAGATTAGCTGTGGACCACCTTGATCTCCACACATAAACACAATTACCTACTGAGTGCTAGCGCAGTTCTTTCTTTCTCATTCTCCTGGTTTCTATGAATGCCAAAGATTATTTGGAACATTTTGCCAGCTGGAAACCTGAACAATACCAAGATCATAGTTCTGCATGATAATACAGTATCTGAACACTGCCCAAATAACATAGGTTAAAGAATCAGAGGTAGCTTGGGGTAACAGTTGTTCAATTAGAACAGCGTTCCAAACCCCATGTTTCCATCATCTTCAGCCAATAGGAGAGGTCTCCCACTCTTGTTTTGAAGGCTCTATCTGCACCTGAATCTCAGAGAAGGCTGTATCTCTGAGCAGAGGCATTCCAACAATACTGTCTACATGAAAGTTACATTTTTATCTGCTGAATTTCTACCTGTCCATGTAACAATTAAAATGTAGAACACCTCAGCTCAGAAACCAAACCAACATGACCTTCTTCCCCACATAGGGGAAGTCTAGACTACAGCTCCCACCATTCATGGCCATCCATTGTCAAAGATTAAGGGTGAAATATATAACTGAAAGGACATGGGTGAAACATATAGACCCATTCTTCATGTGAAGTTTATGTCTCTTGGACATTGTACTATTCCACACCTGAAGCACTGGGGAATGTTGGACTGCTTGAGCCATCAGCAACTCTCCAAGGTTTCAGATGGACCCTTTTCCAAGCCTCAGCTAGAGATGCTGAGTCTGAACTGGTGATCTGTTGCTGCTCCCAGACTTTGAAATTCCTTCCCACAGGAGGCCAGGCTGGCCCCATCTTTGCTGTCCTTCTGAAAGCAGGCAAAAACCTTTCTCTTCGGGAAAACTTTCCCTGAGTGAGTGACTGCCTGAATGGGCTTTTAAAATGGATGGTTGTGCCTTTCTAGGGACATGGTGGTGCTGCAGGTTAAGCCGCCAAGCCTCTGGGATCCAAGGTTGAAAGACCAGCAGTTCGGAGTGAGCTCCTATCACTTGTCCCAGCTCCTGCCAACCTAGCAGTTCAAAAGCATGTAAATGTGAGTAAATAAATAGGTACCACCATGGTGGGAAGGTAATGGCATTCTGTGTCTAGTCACATTGGCCACGTGACCACGGAAACTGTCTTCAGACAAACGCTGGCTCTACGGTTTGGAGACAGGGATGAGCACCGCACCCTAGAGTCAGACACAACTGGACTAAATGTCAAGGGGAACCTTTACCTTTACCTGTGCCTTACTGCTTTGAAAGTGGTTTTGGTGTTGCTTTTGTTTACTGCTTTTCGTGTAGTATTTGTTTGATCCTTTTTAGTATTTGCCTACTTACTGTTTTTAGCTTTAAATTGTGTCATCATAATGAAGTAATCCACCTTGTGTTCTTTTTTAAGTGAGATGTTTTATGGAGTGGGTTTACCAGTCCACGTCTCCAATTAACTCCAATTAGTTGAGCATAGATTTGAACCCTGGTCTCCAGAGTCTTAATCCATCACTCTGTCCACTACACCACACTAGGTATTTCTTATAATTATACACAACTTTTTATAGGATAACCTATACCTGCTCAGACCACATTTTCTGCACAAATTAATGTTTTTCTAATCAAGAAACACTGGATTCAAATCCTGTTAAGCCTGGGAAATCAAAGCTACCTCTTCACACTCAGAAAAGGCTCAGTGGTTTAAGCTTTGTATGTGAGGTAGCTCATGAAGGCAGAGGAGCCGCACCAGAGATGAAGATGGCAAAAAATATGCAGAGCTCATTTGTGACAGCTTGCTGGGAAGGGCAAGGTGCCTTGGTTTCTGCATCTGCGATGCCTGTCAGATGATGCAGGCCAAGACACAAAGTCATCACAGCACTTCCCCACCCACCACCAGCGCCATCTGGGGTGCTAAGGGAGTGCTGAGCGCAACTGCCAGTAGGGATGGGCAAAGAGCCAAGAGTCAGTGTTTTTAGAAATGAGGAGCAGCATTGAATGGGGAGAAATGGGGTTAGGGTTAGGGTTACTGTTCATCTGAATGAATGGTACAATTTAATCAATGTTGATAGAAATCTGTTTTTATACAGGTGCTCCCTTCTTAATGATTAGGCTTAATGAAACGCCTCTCATTTATGCATGAGGTAAGAAATTCTAATCCTTCAGAAATCCTTAAGAAATTCTAGGATCCTCTTCCTTGGGAAATAATCAGGTGGGTGGAGATCTTGTCAACATAGGACAGTTCATCATAGGGCAAGTTTTGTGAATAGGGGTATGATTGGAATTGGATTTCACTATGGGTATGATTACTTATAGTGTCTATGAGGGAAGTTCTCCTTTAGACAAAATAAATTATTTTTACTTGCTCCTTCTTTTTGAAGTTATTCAAGACAAATTGGGTGGGTGGGGAGGTAAATTTACTTGGAAGGGTTGTTCTTTTGGAAGCTTTTGCAATACTGGACATCAGAAGTTGATTTATGGATTAATCTTTGTCATCTGGAATGGAAGTCCTCAACTAGAACCCACAATGAATCTCTGTCTACTCTAGTTCCATTGACAGAAACTTACAATAGAGTTTATTGGGAAATAACCTATGGACAACAATCAGTCTTAAAAAGAGAATACACAATTGTGCCATCTGTACACGGGGGGGGGGAATGACACCAAGGCAGAATCTGCTTTCACTTTCTTCTCCACCTTCTCCTCCCCTTAATTACTACGGTTGTATTGTGGGTGCAACCTTTAACTGATTAACAGGTTACTTTGATCAATTAAAACATTTTGATAGCCTGAGTTACTCAAGCAATAGATTTTTCTTTTCTTTTCCAGAATGTATTGTTTTAAATATAAGTAGCTATAGCAACCGCATGTGGCAAACCTCTTTTCAAAAGAAGCATTCTGCCCTTTCCCTCTCAAAAATGGGAATGCCTCTTCTAATATTGGCCCTGTGAAGACAAATGCATGCATCCTGTAAAAAAATAATGCATGCTTTTTTTCTTAAGTACAATGATTTTACTCACAGGATAATTTATGGACAACTACAGTGCAACTTAGAAATATGCCTTCCCAGAAGTAATCAGTGTACTGTATTCAATGGTGTGGACTCTCTGGTAACTTTATTTTAGGATTGTAATTACTTATTGATTAATGGGCCCAAACTCACATAAGTAATGGATCTCTGCTGCTAAAATTCCTTTATTGTAGAGACAACCATTGTTTTCATCCTACCTTTCCTCCAAGAAAGTCAAGGCAGCATCTACACTCTCTCAACCACAATTCTTGAGGTAGACTAGGTTGAGGGATTATGAACTCATCCGTGAACTGGCTAAGCAGAGCAGAGAGGTGTCTATAGTTTAAACTGAAAAAAAAATGTCTGTTCTTCAAAAATGAAACTGTTCCTCTCCCCCTTTTAAAAAAAACCCTCTCAATTGTCACATTTCTCATTTTCTCATTATTTCTATTTCATTTACATGTGCAACTTAACCTTAAGAATTAAGATAGAACTTATGGCCCACCACTAACAGGTCAAATTTTAAAACAAGAAAATCTTAATTATGACGATGATGTATTGTGAAGTAAATTCCGACTTATGAAAATCCTTTCCAGGGGCTTCTTGTTAGAGCAGAGGTCCTCAACGTTGGGCCTCCAGATGTTGTTGAACTACAACTCGTAGAAGCCTTTGCCACCACCTCTGCTGGCCAGGATTTCTGGGAGTTGAAGTCCAAGAACATCTGGAGGCCCAAGGTTGGGGACCACTGTGTTAGAGAGTACTCAGGACTGGTTTACCATCCTCTTCTTCCAGAGGCACTCTGGGATTGCGCAGCTTGCCCAAGGCCACACAGGCCTAATAAACTGTGTTTACCCCATTCCACCTTTACACATTTTGAATTATAGTGTGTTGAATTATAGTCTTACACCCCCAGTTTTCCTATCCATGCTTGTATACAACAATCCCTTCCTTTCTAACTACAGCTGAAGTATGCCACTAACATCCAGAGTGCCTTTTAATCACAGTTGCTTCTTCTCTCTGGGTATGATTCTTGAATGTGCATTTAGGAGGCTTTTTAAAAACATCAGTGTGTGTCAACTTTTCATAATCACCTATTAATATATATATATATGAAAACTGGGTTTTAATGTGTCCTCCTCTGCACCACTAAAAGCTTATAGAATGCTGCTTTTGTTGCAGATTGCTGGTGATGACTGGATCAGACCAGAAGTCTGAGGTTATTTTACCTAAGAGTACATGAAATAGATGGAATGAATTCCTTTCACTTTAATAATGGTGCAAACATGACCGCATATTGGAAGAGTTCCGTCCTTGGGTTGCAGTTCTTTTCATGCTTACCTGAAACTAAGTTCCATTGAATCTAATAGGAGTTGTATTTGCGAAGGCTTTCACAGCTGGTATCTAATGGTTGTTGTGGGATTTTCAGGCTCTTTGGCCGTCAGTCTCAAGTTACCTCCAGATCCCTGTCCTCTGAAGATGCCGGCCACAGAGACTGGCGACACGTTAGGAAGAACAACCTTCAGAACACGGCCAAAGAGCCCGAAAAACCCACAACAACAACAACAACTAATTTTCAAAATTAAAAACAGGATGATGTGAAAGTTCAGAAATGGCCTCTGTGAATTTAAGGGAGTCATCGGGGACATGAATACCTGTGCTTATTATTCTTCCCAGTTAGTCGACAAAGGCTTCTTGTTACCGCTTCCCGGGTGTTAAATCTCAGCACTACCCTTCTGAAAATCCCTGGGGTGGCGGGGTGGCTCTTTTCCGCTTCTCCGCGCCCCCACCTCGGTTCTGCGGAGAAGCCAGGCGGCAAACCGCGGGCGCTGTCCGTTTTTGTTGGTGCTGAAACGAACCCATTCTAACACAACCTGTTGTACTTACGGAGCAGAGCGCGCGGATGTTAACCAAGGTTGCATGTAGCTGGAAAGGACAGCATATACATTATTCCTTTAAAAAGCAGACCCTAAGAGGTGATAGTGATGGAAATCGATGCTCTGTTCTATTAACCTCTTATATTTCAATCGTTATTAAATTTGTTCATCCCCGTCTTCTAATCAAAACTGACTAAAACTGCGCTTCCATGCCCACTCACTTGGGAGTAAATCCTACTGAATGCATTGAGGCTGATTTAGGCATTATAGAATTGAGTTACCTGCGGAACCAGAAAGGCTAGGAAAGGAGGTACTTAACTGAAATGGCAAAAACAATCAGATTTGACTAACGCTACCCGTATGTCCGTTAGCCACTTGGCTATTGCCCAGTCTCTTCGCCACCGTGCAGGGCAACAAGGGTAAGGGGAGAGGAGACCCACCAGGAGGTAAGCTGGTTTTCCCTTCCCCGAAAAGTTTTCCAGTTTAAGGCAACCGATCCTGACTTACTTGATCCATTCCTGGTGGAAACGTCGGAGGAATTCCTTCGGAAAGAAGCTTCGGAAGAGTTCGCCACAGCCATTGCTTCCCTTCACGCTGATCCGGCTCCCTCTCGAGAGAAGCAAAGCAAGCTTCCGATTCCTTATCCGCCTCGGGGGCTCCCTTCGGTCTCCCGCATCGCTTCCAGGCGGGTGGCCTCAGCCGGGCGGGGCCCAGAATTTCACAACTTGGGAGAAGTTGCCCGCGGAAGCTGCGGCAGCGCTGGCGTCCCTCGCATCGGCAGAGGCTGGCTTGCCACTGGCGGTGGACACAGGTCAGCTTGCCTCCAGATCCCGAGCCTTCTTCTCTTCTTCGGATCTGAAAGGTGTCTGCGTAAAAGCCTGAAAAAAAAAACCACTAATATTTGAACGGAGGGGCGGGGGGCTAGCTCTGCCCACGGAGGCTGAATGAAGGGAGGGCGGCTGTAGCCAGTAGGGAGGGGAAAGGGGGAGTATGCCGCCCTCCCCGTCCCCGATCCTGACGCCTGTAAGACGCCAAGGCGGCTGAGAGGCTCGGCCGCCCAGGGGTGGGCAGGTGTGAGTGGGAGGCGAGGGGAGGAGAGGGAGAGCGAGCGAGAGTGGGTGTGCTTTCCTGCTCGACCAGGGGGCGGAGGGGGCCTCGGCGGGTGGCTGCAAAGGGCCGAGGCGAAGGGGTGTGGGAAGGGATTGTGCCGGCGCCTCAAGCGGCCCTTGGGTCAGTCACACGGCCGAGGGGAAGAGCAGGGTCCGGGGGCTGCGGAAGGGCCGCGGGGAAAAAAAGGCGCGGAGGCTTTCCTGGGATCCCGTCCATGTGGGGATGAAGGTAAATCTCCAGGAGCTTTCCAACGGCTAAAAAAAAGGGGGATGCGCCGCCGCTCAGAGGGCTCCCCGAGGGTCTCTTGCCAGGGCCGTAGCTCAAGAGCGAGCGCCCCGTACCCTCGTCCAGCGCTGCAGAGCGTTTGGGTGAGTGACGGGTCGTTTCATTTCACCGCAGCTGCTGGCGAGGTGTTCCTTTTCCTCTGAAACCCAAGGAGCCCCTTGCAAGACAAGACCGAGTTCCCTATACAGTAACTTTATTATCTCCACGATCCGCTTTCACACTGCCTACAGAAAGGAGGTGGTCAAATCAGCCACTGCCATCCCTGGATGGCCGCAGATATGGCTTCTCTTTCTTGCCCCCCCCTCCCCGCGCCCCTTTACCAAGGTGGCTTGGCAGAAGTGCCTCCATCAGAGTACAAAGGCCATGCCCGCAGGGTCAGGACAGCAAGGCAAAGGACTGCATTGAAAACGGTCCCCCCTGCTGGCTTTCTCCGCACGTTTGCCTTCAAGCCTTCTGACTCACGGTCAGCAGCGGCCCAATCCCAAGACGATCCTTGTGGTCAGCCTGATGCTCCCGCTGACGTTCCCTCTGATGCAACTCCTGACTGCCTGAACAAATCGATGCCATACCCTTCTGTGCCCCTACAGAAAGTCAGAGGAAGAATTATTTCAGCCGAGTAGCCTGAATCTGTGCGCCACCTGCTGCTTGGGGAAAGAGGATTGGTGGCTCCTGAGCCAGAGTGCATCTATCCATCTGCCAGAATTTTGCCCAACCTTGATGCTTCCCTTAGCTTTGTTGATTCAGTACAAACATGATGACTAATTTCATGTTCTGCAAAGAGGACTCCAGGCTGGGGGGGGGGCTTGAGGAGTGGGGGCACTGAATAGTGTGGATGTCAAGTGCTTGCCTTAATGTGTCTTGAAATACACATGCACTGATTTGTTTCTTTAAAATACCATCTTCCAGAACTGCTTAGAAACATGTGAACATCCTGCAGAAAATCCCTAGGGTGGCGGGGAAAAGTGAACATGTTGGCTGAGGGTTCTGGGAGCTATGATTAAAAAAGAAAAACGATAGCTAAGCTCTAGCACATATACTCAGGCACACAGTACATTGGATGACCTCTAAGGTGTCTCGTTTGTTGCTGCTGCTGCTTTTGCCATTGATGGTTTTATATCCTCCTCGTACCGTTTCTGTATTAACCAGATACAGGAAATTACCCACAGGAACCAACCAATGTCCCAAAAGGAACCTTGGCTAGCAACCAGTTGCCTAAATGCAGAATTGAAAGAAAACTATGTAAAGAATCTCCCCCATTACACCAACCTCCCTGCCTTCTGCGTATTCTCTTTCTGATTGCAGAAGCGGCTGCATAGCTGGTCATGTGCTGGGGACCCTGGAAGAGCAATTTCCCCTCCACTTGGCATTTAGGTGACAGGACACTGGCAGTTGGCATTAAGCCCTGGGTGATGCATTCATCAGAAGGAGGTGGTGAAATCATGAAGCGAAACAAAGCATGCTGCTTATATACTGTTCCATAGTGCTTAAAGCACTCGCTGTATAGTTTACAAATTACTTATTATGCAGGCTACACATTTCCCCCCCACCCACTATGTAATCACCTTACCAACCTTGGAAGGATAGAAAGTGGACTCAGCCTCCAGCCAGCTACCTGAGCCCAGGATTGAACCCAGGTTGTGAGCAGAGTCTTCACTGTGGTACTGCCGTTTAACCACTGTGCCATAAGGCTCCTTCTCCAGCTCTGGGATCCTCCAGACATTTTGGATGACAACTCCCATTATTCTAGTAAAGAGGGCAATGGGTCATAATGGGACTGGCAAGTATTGTAGCCCATCATATGAAGAGTGTGCCAGGTTTGGGAGGATAGCCGAGATAGGACATGCTAGCCAGAAAGGTAGACATGAATTTTATCGTATCCTTACGAGAAGAATTTAAATAGATACAGGAAACTCCTGCTTCCTCTGATACACGTCCTGTGCCCTCTAGTGACTAAATGAAATGAGCTGCTTGTTTTCTTCTTCTCCATCAAGAGCTAAAGTGAAAGTGATTCAGTTTCTCTTAGCAGCTCCCATTCACTGTCAAGATCTATTGGTGATATCTAACAATATAAAATTTTCCACCAGGAAAAAAACAACAACACTGTAATGGTATTGATGGAAGCAAAAAAATAAATAAATCCAAGTACAGATCAACACACAATGTACTTAAGGTTGGCACTCCAGTCAGCATAGATCTGCCGTTCAGAAGCAGGAAAGAAAAGGGATTCTTTTTTGTGTGAGTGATGTTTTTCCGATAATATTTCAAATATTACTCACTTTATCCTGGATGAGGAAAAGGATGCTTTTCTAGAAAAAAGACAACAGTTTTTCCAGAAAGAGAAGAAAGAAAGAACCAGTCTGACATTCTGCAGATTCTGAAGCAGTGTTGAAAATGAAGATGCAACGTAACCTAGCATGAGCCGGGCTCTGCGACTGCCAGACTGGTCACTTATGAATGAGCACTGTGTAAACATGTGTCACATAAGCCCCTTGCTAAAGAGCCCTAGACTGTAAGAGATGGCAGCAAGATGTAACCGCAGCCTCCTCTGAAGAGAACTGGAAAGTGGGTGGGTGGAAACATGAGTGAAAATCATTAGACCAGCTTGGAATACTATCAAAAAGGTATCAACAGAAGTGGGACAGGAGGCAACTGAGTAAGGTGACCCAACTGAATATCAGGAAAAACTGAGCAAAACAGCTTATTCAACTATATAAGGAAACAAAAATGTGTCTTAGGAGAAAAATAACTGTTAGCAGTTAAATACAGTATATCATGGAAGAGAGTACACCCCTCACATTTCATAAAGGCAAAACAGCTTGTTCAACTATATAAGGAAACAAAAATATGTCTTAGGAGAACAATAACTTGTAGCAGTTAAATACAGTATATCGTAGAAGTGAGTACACCCCCACTTTTCACAAATATTTTAGTATATCTTTTCATGTGACAACACTGAAGAAATTACACTTGGCTACAATGTAAAGCAGTGAGTATACAGCTTGTATAACAGTGTAAATGTGCTGCCCCATCAAAATAATGCAACACACAGCCATTAATGTCTAAGTATTTTGAGAATTGCAGCTTAAAAATACTGATCATCTTAACATTCTCTGGTCCAAAAAAGATTTTAAAAGCTACTTTTTTTGCAGTGATGATACCTGGGAGCTAGTAGTTTTGAAAGGTAATGTTATATAAGAACCAACACTTGCTCTTCACTCAGTTTTTGTGAAATTTCAGTTAATGAGCTCCTAAGGATTCATCAACTTTACTTTTCCTAACTCATGAGTAAGATTTACAGAGTTGCCTATGCAAGCTATACATTTGGTTTATCTAGAGGCAATCTAGCAAATTAATCCCTCCAGCTTCTCATTATTAGAACCAGATGTCTGGTTAATTAACTTTAATGGTACATTCAAACTGGACCCAGAAAATCACCTCTCCTCCCTTGGCAGTCATTCTTCCTATAGCAAAAGCATGGAGCGGAGAATGGTGAAAATTGACTTGCCACCTCTTTGCTAGCTTTTTTCCAGTTGATCATTTGAGGGATTTCTTTTTAACCTTTGAATCCCCAATATTCATTACAGCAGTAGTTTCCAACCTGCCCCCCAGATGTTCTTGGACTACAACTCCCAGAAATCCTGGCCAACACAACTAGTAGTGAAGGTTTCTGAGAGTTTTAGCCCAAGAACATATAGAGACCCAAGGTTGGAAACCACTGCCTTAGAGTAAGGCTAAGAGAATTGTGTCCCATATCTCACCACTGCATCCCACCCCCATGAACAGAAGGCAAACAGAACCATGAGGAAAGCAAAGAGATAGCTGCCTTACTTACAATGTTATGAAAGAGGTGGGTGGCTTTTAGAATAATTCACCTGAATTGTTTCTTCTTTTAACTGAGAAAGATACACACATTTTACATACATTGCATACAAATATAACAAAACCTGCATGAAGCATGTCATAATTCACAGTCATAATTGAAGCAAATAAAGCACAAGAAGAAAAACAAACAAGTAATAGAGTACCAATTTAAAAAATATTTTTAAAAAACACATCCAGGGATATGCTCATATCCTCTGTTTTAGTACCCATCATCTTTTGCCAGTGTCCCCCCAAAAAACCCACCAGTATCCCGTCCCCATTCCAACCCATCTCTCGCTCTTCCTCTCCCTCTCTCTGCTAAAT